GACTGCCTCTTTTGAAGTAAACTCTTAAAGCTGTATGAAATCGGTGTACAGCTAACTGCACAAACCCTACTGTTGATGAAATAGGAGTAACCTCTGTCTCCAGAAAGACTAATGCGGACAATTAACTATATCCTGTTTCACTCTGGGATCCTGCGTTCGTGTTTCTTTATCAGTCACTTCGAATAAATGTCGACATAGGAGCTTGAACTATGTCATAGCCGCTTCCTTCCACATCCTTACCCATTAATTATCCACTATCATATAATTATTTTACGCTGCACAGCCTTAGTTACTNCAAGAGTAACCTCTGTCTCCAGAAAGACTAATGTGGGAAGTAACTGTATCCTATTTCACTCTGGAATCCTGCGTTCGTGTTTCTTTATCAGTCACTTCGAATGAATGTCGACATAGGAGCTTGAACTATGCCATAGCCGCTTCCTTCCACATCCTTACCCATTAATTATCCACTATCATATAATTATTTTACGCTGCACAGCCTTAGTTATTGACATCGTCATAAATATGCCACAAAGGATACATTCCCTTTGAGGTACGAACTAAATTATTATGTATCATTGAGAAAGAATTCAATCTTTAAATGGTTAAACTGCGTAACATTAGTTGACAATGACCAATAATTGTGAGTAGATTTAAATCCATTAAGTATGTTGAGAAAGTTCATTATCGTGTTTACAGGAGCTCGCCAACGGTTTGTAGTCTGAGCCATATGAATCCAATCCATCACGCTATAATTGTCTGACATACGATTCGATGTTCTTCAAACTTACAGCTTTTCTGAAGAAAGCAGTCTTCTGGGATTTGGCACCGTGTATATGTGGTGTTAACCGACGTTNTACAGTGAAGGTTATTGTGTAGAGTGCCACGCTGGAGATAATCCAGAGTTGCGTCGCACTGAGGAACCTAGACACTTAATGAGGTAGGGGAGATGAGGGACTGTGAGGATACTGTGAAATGTGACGAGACGCATGACGCTATGGTCTGTCAGGTTATGCTCAGTGGGACCGGAAAGTCAGCAGAAGGATGTGTAGTATCAGTAGTAACAAAAAAGTCTGCTCAGGGAAGATGATCTCCTCTGAGAAACTCACTCTTCTGCCCTAAAGACATCAGGAGAGACAGACACGACTGTCTTTGAGTAAATAGAACTTGGAGTGTTTTGTGCGGTAGGGTAGTCCATTGTATGAAGATTCTGTCTACATTTATTTATGAAATTTAATTTGTGATAAAAGTCACATATCATGCCAAAAATGTGGCCCTATGACAGGTTTAAGTGGGAAGGCCCCATTATTTTCGACGAAAGGGATGGAAATCTTCTTTAGAAATTGAATTACTCAGCCAGCCAGGGTTTCTACCTTTACTGAACGTGAAATGTTATCGCCATGTTAACAGACGTCCGCTACTGGACCGAATTCTGAGCCAGCTGAATTCATTCTACAGGAATGTGCATTCTGCAGCCATCTGCTCACGCTGGTTCTTCGCTCTCTGATTTTTATACCCTGAAGACGGAGCCGATAAATTCCTCCGAAACGTCGGTTTACACGATATCTACACAGCGTCATATACCAGAAGACGTTATTCTTTACATTCCCCTTGATTTCTATTTGTGAACTGTGAAAGCCACTTATGGTCTTCGTACCTTTAATTACCGTAGACATACGAACGAAGGTGAAAGAAGCGGAATGTCCGAACATTCCCGAATGCTTGTTTTCTGTTCGTTGCCTCGCCTGCAGTGCATTCGACCAAATTCGGTGCAGCTCCGAGCTTAATTATGTGAACCCAAGCAATGTCCGACGTCGGAATTATTTTCCCGGGCTTCAGCTTTCGTCAATTATAGCCAACTACCAAAAGAAACTGGGGAAAGAGGATGAACATGCTGGTGGACATTTTCGACTTTTTGGAAGCCGAAATAGAAGTAACGGAAATTGCTTAATGTTTAAATTACAGATCGTAACTTACTGTATGTGATTTAAAAATGTTCATACACTGGTAGCTGTTGATTTTGAAATCCTGTTAAACATAATTACCGTCAGAATTCTCTCTCAAAAAGCATATTATATTTCGGGAAGCTATCTCCGAAATGATGGAAAAAGAAGAACCATGCTAATGGCAAGCGCTAGCAGTTAATTCCTGTCCACACTGCGTATGAAGTTTCTTTGATGTACCGCTCTGTCGGTAAACTGGATCGAAAGCAAATGAACCGTCCTTTCGTCTTCGTTAAAATCATACACACGAAGTTAGTTCGTAGGTTCGTTTTCGTTTGCACCCACATTTATATTTGTTCCTTCTAGTTTGGAGCTCCGACACGATTTTCTGATATTAAACTTTTCCCAGAAAAATGATTTTAAATGCTGCTTACAGTGAGTTACGGCTAAACTAAATAATTTGAAATTATAAATAGTAACTGGTAGGTATGTAGGATTACAAAAAAAGCCCGTGAATTTTGATAAATCTCTCGATAATAATCACTTTTATCGGTAATTATGAGTTATTATTAGCAATTTCCAACATTCATTTCTAAATATAATAAGTAAGTACTTTTTAAACATTTCATGGGAATCGTCACCTTCACCGCTGTTACATATTTCAATAACCAGTAGAAAATGTAATAGATTATACCGTGATACAATGTATTTTACTACGTAATAAATGATGGCTTACATGTCTTTACATTGCGCCTTTTTAAATGTACTTTGTGCAAAAAAAAGGTAAAAGTATTTTATGACGAAAAGGGATTTCACGCATTAAAATCTTAATATTATTAGCATATTCTTCATTTTAAATGTTAAATATCTTATACATTTCGTCTAATGACTTAGAAGGACAGTATTCACAGGTTTCTAGAATATTTACCAATGGACATTGATAATTATGAATAATAACGGGAAAATGTTCATAATTACTGGTAAAAGTGTCTATTGCTACGATATTTATCATATTTCCTGCTATTTTTTATATTTCTATACAATTGTTGGTTATTATCCATAACTAATGACTTATTCACATATACCGTAACATACAGTAACATACAGTTAGTTTGTTCAGAATTACAGTCATGAAGACGGCCATTTTATGACTCCTTGTACTTTGTTATTATGGGTCATAACTTTCAACGACTCACAGTCTTGAAATTCATGTTCGACAGATGATAAATAAGTATAAGGGCGGCCGCACACCAACTGCGTCAAGACAAGCATCAAGACATAGACAAAAGACGCAGGCTTGCTTCGTTCGTGATTCAGACTCGAGTCCGCACACCAAAGTAGCACGTGTTTGCGTCTTATCACATCTTCCCTAGTTGATGACATGACGTCATGCCGATACCGTACACTGGTGCTGTTCCTTGAGTACTGATGTCTGAGTCCTGACGCACAGAAAAGCAACTTACCGAGTCTTGCTTCACGTGTCTGCAGCATGAAGCTGACGTCAGCAACATGACTCAGACCGGTGTGCGGCTGTTTTCATAATCTCATTCGTTTCAACTGTTCTCCTTTCTTTCCGTCATGTCGCAGACATCATGTCTTGACAGTTACATGTCTTACGCATGCCGGTGTGCGGCCTACCTAACACAGTTCCAGTTCCATACGACGGTATGCACAGTATAGACTTAATGTTTCAGTTGAACAACAATTAGCGAACTTTCTTGTAATTTCGCGAAAAAACTACAGGTTTTAATTAAGGTTACAACTCTGCAGAACATTCCAAATCCTATCTCTCTTCAGTGTATACAATAAATCTTTAAAAAATCCAAGAAAAATAAATACGTCGGTAAATTTTCTCTCTTCTTTTATTAAAATTTCTTTTACTGAAACAATTGCAACTGTTCCGCTACGTCCTTCCTTAAAGCCACATAAGTCGTTGCCTAATTTTTTGCTGCGTCTCTTAATCTATATGAGAATATCAGCATGTTAATTTGATTCCGCAGATAACGGCGACACATTCCCGTAATTGCCGGCTGTATCTCTAGGACCGGTTCCATAAATATTAATAATTGTAACTTTATGCCAGGAACTTTATAAGACTCATAATAGTATTATCTTCATACTTTCTAGAGAGTGCTTCCATACTGTATGTGTATCCAATCTATTGTTTCGCTACTTTTGTTCTTGCTTCCTTTCATGGTTTCCTCTAGTTTCTCGTACAATGTAGCTCGCTCTTTTTCTACTGAATTTGCTCCCGCTATCCTCGCAAATTTATTTCTTTCAGATGGTCCCATAAGGAAAATAATTTGTATGTGTGTCTTCCGAAATGAAACGTACACAGGCCTTGCCGTACTATTCTGAAATGAATAATTTGAAGGCTTTAACACCTCTGTAAAAGTAAACGTAAAGTTGTCCCTGTGCTTTACCAATGAAGCAGTACGTCATGAAGGCGTGTAGGGGAGTGGATGCATAGCTCCTACTTTTCTTGATCTGGACACTAGCTTGAGGTGAGTGGTCAGCTCCACGGTTTAGCTGCTTTACCACCGGGGAAAGAGCCCCCGGTACACATCGGATAGGAAGTTGGGTGAACCCCAGTGGCGGTCTGGGTGTTGTGGAGGAGAGAAAATTTTCGGCCCTAACGGTACTCGAACAAAGTACTTCTGTTTATGATTAATATAATACTAAAATTCATACTCTTGAAAATATGCAATTCTCTGGAAGGGAGGAGTTTGCGACATTTCGTGTTCTCTCAGCAGTGACCGTGGAGATCCCTGTGATATGAGACCGTATTGTCTGGTATGTCGTTATCAATATTTCGGCTGATTTATCCTTGCTCTTTTCGGGTAGAAGTTAAGATGGTAGTGAAAGGAAGTGGTGCTCTTGCAGGGAGGGTGATGACAGGACAAGGGCCGGAAGGAAGGGTTTCACGGTCTACCAGACTACATGGCGTCACATCCCAGAAGAAAACCTCCGAGAAGAAAAAATGCATGATCATATTCTTTTTGACAAAATAAGAAATATGATTCAATATTCAATAGATTGAAAATCACTCATGTGGCTTATGTGAGAGTTCCAAACGGCGTTTTCTTTAAGTGGTTATACAATATTTTCTTTGCATTTAACAAAAACTATCATCAACTTTTATTTCAGTGCGTTTTATTGAAGAACATTGAAACTAAGCAGTAAGCATTACACATCGCAATGATATGCTCACTACTATTCAGATAGTCAAGCCAGCGTAATCTGCAATCCAGCCCCTAAACTTGGTGACGTCAGTGTACACTGCCGGGTACTTCCCGTCTCCACAACCGAAGCTCCAGGACATCAATCCTATCAGCTGCTCGTTGTATACCAGAGGGTCCCCCGGATCACCTTGACAAGGACCCCCATCTCTGCTCCCGGCGCAAAACATACGCTCCGTCACGGGGTTCTGGATACCCTCGTAAAGGTACTTACAGTCATTGAAGTACAGAATAGTAACGTTCCTCTCGTTAAGCACAGAAGACAGCCACGCGCCAGAGGAAGTGGCACCCCATCCGCTTACCGTGGCAACGTTGCCGTCGAAAGGAACTTCCGTTCCTATGTCAAGACTGTCTATTGTACTGTCGAAAGGTATGTCCTCGGACAGCTGAAATTGAAAATACGTTACATATTTGTACGGGCGATACGTGAAAAACTGAAAGAAAGCACAAATAAAGTTAAAGCAAAATGTTGTTCATTTCACTACAGCTGCTCCTTTTAATATGAAAGTATGTACAAGATGAAATACTGGAATACACGTTCTTACGTCACGGTCAAATGGTTAGCACTCTTATTTCGTATTCTGGATTTCCGGGTGTAAATTGGGGCTATATTGACTGAGGTTTTTAATAGTTTCCGTCAGTCCCTTCAGGTACATGCTGTGACAGAACCTCAGATTAGACAAAGGCCGTTTCCTCCCAAACCATTTCCAATTCGTTAGCAATCAATCATTCAATTCTATACAGTCTTAGCCACTGAAAACGTCATTCAGTGAATCAATAATAAATAAATAAATAAATTAAATGTGTATTTTTAGCCTACTTTCATTATTTTGAAACATAGAAGGAGGCTAATGAGATCACCTCTCTGTCTCTCTGTCTGTGTTCCCCCCCCCCTTTTTTTTTTCTTGGCACTACAGCCCCAGTGGGCCTAGGGCTACCTCCATGAACTCCGTTCACTTCGGTTTTTCTGGACCTTACACATTCGGTAGGACTCCTTGGGCGGGTGATCGGCTCGTCGCAAGGCCTATACCTGTACAGAAACACGGAAAAACGCACACACACAAACTAAACATCCACGCACTGAGTGAGATTCGAACCCATTATCCCGGTTTCCAAGCAAGCGAAGACAGTACATGCCTGTTCCCACCCCTATTACCTGATACTAATTACTCTTACAAAATAAGAATATTCAGACCAAACTGAGAAAGTTTAAACAAGATGAACAATGACAGAAAAAATCTTCGGCAAAAAGAACTTTTCATTATAACCAGAAATGAGCCATTCAACTCGAATGGATGACAATTAGACTATAAAGGAAAATATGTACGTATTATGTATATACATTTTTAGACCTACGGGATAGATGAATGAAACTATTGTCTGATAGTATTAAGATTTAAATCACTTGAGAGATGACAATCCTGACGATGACGATGATGATGGTGGTGGTGGTGGTGGTGATGATGATGATGATGATGATGTTGATGATGAAGAAGAAGAAGGTAATAATGATGACGACATGTGTAGTCGAATTTCACTTGGTCTCCAGAATTTTACTAGAAAGCCTTTTGGTACTTGATTACCGAGAGCCTCCACACTACCGCGTCAATTTTCTCTGGGCTGCTCCTCTTGGCTCTGCTGTGGAAAGGAAATGGGCAGGGCGCAGCAAGTGCCTAACTAACAGGAAACATTGACCCTAAGCTCCATATTCTCTCTGCAAAACATTAAGGGAGGAGGGTCCTGGAGTATGAGTAAAAAATGAACATATTTTGAAATTTCTTTTCATTTTTAAATGATGTTCTGACATTTGAAGATTGTAAATCGCATCAGTACATCTTGATGATCTCTAAAGTCGCGAACCGTCATTTCAGTACTTTTAAATAAATATAAATAAAATAATTTGAGTTCATATTTAGGCAAAATATTTTGGTTCATGGAGACCAAAGACTGTCTATATATCGTTGACTTTACAGACTTTGTTCAAGCGAGGGAATACAGTTCATGCCTTAGACTGCGCGACCACAGGGATCGGCACTAAAGATTATAACTTATAAATGTCCTGACAAAGGACTGCCGTAGATACGCATCTGAAGAACTCTAAGCAAAAAGAAGTGAAATATACAATTCCAAACTGTTTCTTGAGCTTCACTATAAATTGGACTTCGTTCTTTCTAGGCATGCAAAATTTATACTGATATAACTTGGAATCAACTTAACCATTCTGCATGAAATTTATACAAAGTGTACAGCAACGTAGACTAAAGATTTTCAAGAGAGAAACCTCAAAATAGGGCATAGGAGCCTCACAGTAAAATAATTATTTCAACCTCGATAAAAATATAATGAATTAATGTAGCTAATTTATAAGCGAATTAAAGAGCGTATAGGAATTCATTCCTGAATATCGAATCTCTGTCCTTCAGGAGTATTTATAAAAGCTCATGAGATGCCTAGCTCTAAGATAGGCTAAGATGTGTCACAATAATTTAAATACTGCATTTGGGGGTCAGTATACACCACAATTGGGAGATTTAAAATATTTTCATTAAGTTATCACAAAACTCATCACTTTCTGTAATGTTAAGAAGATCACAGACATTTTCATACACATAGGAACAAAGAAAAGGATTGCTGTTTTACTTACAGTGCCCCCCCCCACAGCAAAGCATGACTTCCTTCAGAAAGTAGAATGGAGCGGTGCGCGAGCATAACATCGTAACTTTCCCCAAAATCACTTGAGCGAAAGCTCATGAAAACTGAGGTGGACAGTACCATTTTCTTGCCCCTATGTTGGTTAGACCACAATATACGTAACCTGACTGTAAGTGTTGATGCAAACATGGCGGTCTTGTTATTTCGGCTTCTTGTTTATTTATTTCTTTATTTGTTATAAAACAATGAGACTGAATCCCTTGGTTCTGGTGCCTCAAGTGGGCTCATTCTGGCAACCTGATGGATGTAGAACGTTGATAGACTGATAATAACGTTATTTCGATTTTAGCGCTGCCTACCTTGACAAGAGCGATGTCATAGTCCATGATTTGATCGTCGTAACCTGGGTAAGGTACGTAAAGCGAAACATTACGAAGTGTTCCCAGGATTCCTCTCAGTACAGGGCCAGCTCGAACAACAAGGTTTGCGTAATCTGTTCTAAATGAAGAAAAAATTCATTGTCATTTAAATAAAATTGTAAAAGAAATTATTGTGTTCAGAACTCTGAAACATTTTAGTCGGAAAAAATTTCACGGACGTTTCAGAGGAACATACATTTTCCATTCTCACGGATGAACAGTTAACCAAGCAAGTATCCAGCAAAGAAAATCGAATCCCGTAATGGAAGATGCAGGCTTGAAGGACCAAAACAAACTCCATACCTCCTATAGCACCACACAAATCTATAGTCTCCAAGAGGCTCACTGAAAGCTCGAGGCTGCGTCCCCTCTTCGAACATGCCCAAGAAAACAGAGGGAGCAGGACGCCATCTGGGTTCTTGTTGCTTGCAGCCTCTCTTTTTCTGGGGCTTCCTCAGCTCATTCTTCAACCCTGAAGATGGAAGCGGTATATTCCTTCTAAACGTCGAGGAATTGCTACCGTCACATCCCAATCACGATCATCGCTATGGCAACCTCAGATCCAAAACTTCCATTGTATACAACATGCAGTAGTATAATTCAGGTAGGATTATCAATTATAAGCTTTATTCTAAAATTATCGAATTATTTTGTAATTGTGGAAATGCGTTATTTTGCGTAAACTTAACATTTATTATTACGAGGAACCCTTTACTTGTAATAAAGAAAGGAATTAATTTGCAATTGTTCAATGTTACTTGATACTTGATACGTACTTATTCAAATTGGAGAGAATCCAAAATTTTTACTGGGTAAATAAAAAGGTAATATTAAAGATTTAATATTTACTGCCATTAGGAAATTAAATAAATTTTTAATATTTGGCTCAACGTTATAATGTAATGGAGCGCTTAATTAAAATAACAGCACACGCCTGCTTTCAGTACAACCTAAATCAGTCAAGATTTCCTTCTGCTCCTTCTTAATTTATATTTCTTTAAAAATTAAATATTTTTTTTTGTATAGAATTAGAATTTATGAAAATGTGTACAATACTTCGGCAGCAAGGTCAAGGAATTTTAATTAAAACATATTTATATGTTAAATATAAATCTGTATATTTAGAAGAATTAAACTTCGTTTAATTTCTGAAGATAATGTCAAACATCGGTAAACTTCGTATATGATGGGGAGACCATGGCGATTTTTAATATACGTATAGGAATTTGGAAACATACGCTTGGGATTACCCTATTTTATGGTAAATTCATAAGTCATGGAAAATTTATACTGGGCATTAAATATGTGTGACATTATCCAATAAAAAAATTGTTAAAAATGTGTTGCGCACAGAAAAATATTTAAAATTTTTTTTTATTTTCGTAAAGTGCAGAAAGACCTGCATTTATTCACACATAAAATTCTGTTATTTTTTCCGAATTTATTGAAAATCATGATAAAACCAATTCAATTTCATGAAAGTCTGTTCAGTGATTCTCTAATATAAACTGATGAAGCAAATTATATAAGCGTCCGTCAATTTCGTAAAGAGGATTAAAAGTAGAGTCAGTACATGAAATTATGTAACAATATGGCAACGTGACGGGTAGAAACTCTGCAGTATGGGCCATAATTTCTCTCGTACACTTCGAAACTTTTCAGTTTCAACAGATATATACAGAATTTTTCGTTAAGTATGTTATAGCTCTTGGGGCTACATTGTAACATACGTGTGAATTCACTTGTACTTGCTTTGAGTAGCGAATCAATAAATTGCTGGATTCTTGTTTGCATAGAGAACTGTATTTATTTTTATTGCCAGTGGGATGGGACTAAGTCCCTTGTACTGCGGCCACTTCTGGCCTGTTGTACTAGCCCCAGATGATAGGTGAGGATTATTGTGGAACAAATGGTGGAATGAAGACTGGCAGGGGAACCCGAAGTACCCGGAGAAAACCTACCCCAGTGCCACTTTGTCCACAACAAATCCCACATGACCAGACCAGGGATCGAACCCGGGCTGCTGCGGTGGGAAGCCAGCGACTAACCGCTTAAGCTATGGTGAAGCCCTAGAGAACTGTAGATAACAAATTAACTCTGGGGGAAATTTGAATTCGCTTTTATCACTTTTTCTTAGTATGATCTTAAGTGGTATCAGACTTACGAAACATTCTGAGATTAGCACTTATGATTAAGCGACTTATCGATAATCAGTAGGTCTAAAAGCAGGTTAAAAAAGTGGACTTCGTGACCAAGATTAATAATTCATTTTGTAATTTAATGTTCCAATTCCTAACTAGAACCAACATCGTGAGGACGTAAGTGTGTATGAAGGTATATCTCCACACTTTAACAGAGGAGTCAGCTATACGTGGCTTTCCCCCGTGAAGAGCTAGTCTATATAGCCTCAAATGAATGATGAATGATATACTGGACAGGAATTTGTTAAGAAAGCGGTCGTTGCAATTCTGACATTTGTCTGGAAGGACTGGCGAAAGCCGTGAAAAATCGCAAACAGAATATCCGTTCTCAGCCGAGATATTAACCTCTTACCTTCCGAATGCGAGTCTATAAAATTATCGCTGAGCTAACCTGCTTGGTAATTCTCTCGAGAAGTTACTTCGTGCAAATGTACACTTGAGAAGATTGAAATGAGGAAAACAGAAATCACATTAATTTCTCCTTTCACATGTCAATATGTTGTAATTTAATTAAAATGTTTACACTGTTTGGCCGTGCTTCAAACGAAAGTTCTGAATGTTAACTCTACTTTTGGATTTCTAAGCATTAAATCAATATGCCCTTATATTGCTACACATCATACACAATAATTTTATTTTGGAGCTGGGAGTTCATCATTCAGCTAAAAAGCTACAATTTACGTAAACTTAAAAATCAACTACAACCATTTTGTCCACTATATCTCAGAATATTTTATAAATTTGACAAAACAAAATTTTAAATTTTAAACTTACTCCATACATTTCGAATTCTAGAGGGTCACAAGCCATTAAACCTCAGGTACCCGCGTTAGGTGAACCCCAGAGCCGGTCTTGACATTGTGGAGACGAGAAAAAACTGGCCCATACCTTGAATCGAACCCCGGCCGTCCAGCCCATAGCCCGTCACTATACCGACTGAGCTATCCGCAATCATAATGTATCAGTAGAACTATTAACTGATAAAATAAGTTATATAACAAGGACTTTTAGTTTCTCTTCAAATTATTCTTTCATTTTTAATTTGTTCGTCGTTTAATTAAGGGTTTCTGAAAGATTTAATCCATTCCGAGTTTCGGGGTGAAAATTTGCCTGCACGGAGAAGAGGTTCATTTGCAAAACTTAAAAAAATTGTGTGACGTGTATATCCATTGGTAAGCAACGGCTAGGTAAACAAGCCTCAACAACAGATAAACTGTTTTCTATGGAGTAAGCGCAGAGACCGTTGCTATGTAATGGTTCTGTAAACACCCTTCAACAATAGAAACTATATTTTCTGTTTGGTCCGTACCGGGGGTTATCTTGAAGAAAATCGACGCTAGAAAGCAGTTGAGGGTTCAATTGTGGAGTGTTAACCAGCGGGCAACTGAAGCTGAGGAGTCTCTTTCGCTAAGATTCGTTACCAGGAAATGCCTAGTGAAAACACTGTAGAGGAATAGCCACTGTGGAGGGCTGTTACTAAGTGGACTGAGAAGACAGTGTGGGGTGATTTATAGTGTGTAAAACATCAATATTGTAATAATTATTTGTAGTTACGACCTGTAAATGGGCAATATACGAGTATCTATCCACCAAACCAAACCCCGTCTATAATCACTATTACACGTGACAATAGAAATAGTAGGGTAGTGCCTGACTCGGTCCTGAAGGCGAAGGGTAGCTACGAGTGAGGGGACCAGTAGAGGCAGTACCGCTGGTACATGAAGAGCGGGTGGCTTCAGCACACCGACGGAAAACGGCGAAGTGCTTCACCTCCGAATGCGGTTCGAAACTGCCACTACAATGATCTAGCAACCTTAGACTGTTAGGGCCACGACTGCGAGATGGTTGTGATTAACTGCAGGAGTATAGGCCTCTACAGACGATAGCGTCTCATGCTGTGCCGTCACAGCGTGAAGTGACTAACACGAGATCGGTACATACAGAAAGAGCACACAGGCTTGAAAGTAGAATTGGAAATCTCGTGAAAAGAAACAGTTTTGAGCACATAGACGTAAACGGATGATCAATATTGAAAATATTTTTTATAAAAAATGGTGACGTTAATTATATTATTAATTACGCTAGCAGTAAGTGCACTTACAATTAACTGTCTACTATTGGGTTATGAATTAATGCACACTCCTTCTTTAATAATTATAATGTAGACTTAACTGTTTTTTAATTTCTAATTTAATGCCTAGAGAAATATTATTTTTTTCGAGCACTTCAGAATCTATTCTCCTGTATGGTCACTCTAAGATATATTAGCTTAAATTTATTTATAACTTTCCTGCGAAAAGTGTGATTTGAATGAGACCTGAGTATCAATATTTTTTTTTCGCTTTCTCAGAAAACATTCTTAATCGCTTGAAGCCGATTGATGGTTTCATTCTTGCTATAGTAGCTTGTTTAAATTATTTCGAAACGAGACGTGGTCATGTCTTACTTACCCTATGAGACAACTGGCAACAGTCACTACCCATGACGGGCTCACAATGACGCCGCTACACCGATATATGTTGCTCAACTCTAAGGAGACCTTCAACAACACAAAGAAGAAAAGTCATGAAGAACAGTACTGATTCTGCTCTGATTTCCGAGGTGCACACGCATACACACACACACACACACACAAAATACAGGATTTCAGGTTCTCACAGCCGTGGTTATGAAGAGTTTTGCCTTCTAAGATATAATGCCGGGTAGTCCGCTGAAGTTGACATGCCGTTTCGGAGGAACATTTCAATTCAGTTTTCGGGTTTGAAGAATAAATATATCGGATATATGTAGATAATGGATATCTGGCAAACATAACATTTGTATATTGAATAAAACATTCTTGCAAACCTTTAGAAAATTGGGTCTACTTAATTACATAAAACATTATTTTGTAGAGTTCAGTCTTCTTGGATATAAGACCGTATAGTCCTTTGAAAGTCAACCGAGATTTCAGAAGGATATTCAGGGTTGCAGGCTGTGCTTGCTGCCTCGTGTCATTGTAAGGACAGAGCTTACTACTGGTCCACTGTTTCGCTTTCTTCTATATTATGATATTATGACATTCTAAACACAGCAAGTGTCGCATTAGTTTGACTGACTATAAAATTAGAAGAAAATATGTCTTCTTAATAAGTATGATGCAGTGCAGTTCACGTCTTGTTAATGAGTACGATGTACCACGAATTATGCAGTACAGTTCACGTTTGTTAATAAGTATGATGCAGTGCAGTTAACGATTTCATGTTTCTAAACGTGCTTAAGAAAAATGAAACTCGGGCACTTGAGGAAGAAGTCAGTGTAATCTCGTGTGCAGGATCTCAGGTCCTCACGCCAACGGATATGAAGAGTCTTATCTGCTGGGATATAGAACCGTATGTTCTGGCGAAATTCAATAAAAGTTTTGGGGAAACACGTCGCCTTTTTCTTGAGAGTCGAAGAGAAAACCAAGCAAGAGACAAGGATGAAGCAGTCAGCACGGCATTTATATCACAGAAGATAGAACTCTTCATAGTAGTCACGTAATGTCAGCTGAGGGCCAACTTCAGAAAGTGCGAGTAACACATGTGAGTAGACTTTACGTAGGACGTGGTATCAACACCAGTGCTTGACGCTGCAGATATAGCAAAACATGATTTCCAAAATGTTTCTGTGTGCGTAATTATGCTTGCTTAAAAATGTTTGCGGAACTAAACAACCGAGGTAGAACTGAAATATAAACATGGCTCTATATAAGATAAACAGAAATTTGTGAGTTAAGCTCACCACGGCACTGACTATGTCGATTTTTCTCATTGGTTGTTTGTATTACTGTGTCGGTGTAACATATACAGAGCGTAAATGAAAATTGGGGACAAATTTTTGGCATGAGCTCCAAATTACAAAATAAGAATGAATGTCATTATTAACATATATTCAGAAACACGTAATTTGTGAGTTATAGCTGGAAGAATACTGAACTTGCTTGGTGCTGCTCCGGCACATTGTAGCCCCGCTGTGCGAGATGTTCTCAATAACACGCATCATAGCCGAGAGATAAGTAGAGGAGGACCCACTGCATGGCCTCCAAGCTTGTTAGATTTGAATCCTCTGTGGAGACACCTACAACCCTTGTGTATGCAGCTCCTGCTGACAACGAAGGGGCTTCACTGTCGCGCTGTGGATGCCTGTCAGACTATCAGTATCTACCCCGGCATCTTTGAATGAGGAGGCGGACCATTATGAGAAGTATCGTGGCGTGCACTGAATCTCATGGAGGACAATTTGAGCACTTGTTATAAATGTACTCTTTCAGCTATAACTTACAAATTAAATGTTTCCGGACATATGTGAATATGGACATTTTTTCTTACTTTTATACGTGGAACTCGTTACCAGTGTTTGTTCTGGTCCTTCAGTTATTCCCTGCTTATCAAACTTCAGAGTTCCACATCCCCGAAAGCAATAACATTCACGCTTACAGTTATTTGTAAACGAAATACTACAAATTCTGTAACAAGAACATACATGGAAATAACTAGTGAGAATTGTATTTTTTTCTTATAACAAAAATTGAAAAATAGTAATTATTATTAGTGATAGTTCAAGGGGTTAAATTATCATAAAAATTTCGGGACAAACATTATTAATGCACCAACGTAACCCATGAAGTCTGAGCCCCCAAAGTCACACACTACTCGATCTAATGCTACAGGTTCAATATTATGTGGATTATATATGTTGGGCCCTGAAATAAATTGTCTCTCTGCGGTCACAAATTCAAGCTGACGTTTCGGCCAACCTCTTCCCTGACGTGCCCCTCAACCCTCAAGATTTAAGCGTTAAGTTCATCAAAAATATCATGAACCTTTACCGAACTGCACGGCATTTAAGCCTCTGTGAGGACTCTCAAATCTAAAACATAATATTTACTTAACATTTAATTAAGATTTTTTCTTCATTCTGCATGTGTTGCCTATATGGACTACAGGCTCCTGCCCACAGGGGTCCTTATAGTGAATCAGAGGAGGAGTGCTGAGAGTTTGCAGCTGTCTGTAATAAGAATATCAATCAAACTCACACTCTTCTTCAATTTGTCCCCTCCGATACTGATAAAGATGTAATTCCAAAATGTGTGCCCTACAGCCATAGTAAGGCAGTAACTTAAATGTTACAGTCTATGACTTAGAGACCAAAATAAATCCATGCAGAAAAATTTTCTTAAGAAGTTAGTATTGCCCCCCTTTTTTTGTGAATAAATTATCCGCTTCTTATGGAACCCGAATATTCATTGCCGTGTTTCGAGAGATCGCCGCTGGATTGCGCTCTGAACAGATGAATCGAATCCATATCATTTACATCAAATTTCTCTAAGTTCCATTTAAATGTTATTCTCCCTCCTCTTAAGCAACTTTATGTTCCAGTTTTTCGACCTTATTTTGTATGCTTAACTTTCTCTTTCGTTCTTGCTACATACGAAGCGTATCTGTTCTTCTTTCAATTTATTTCCCTACATCAATCAGTTTTATGCAACCTGCTGTTACATTCTCCATCTTATGCTGAATTTTTATATAATACTGGCGAAAATTTTTAAATGCTCATGTTCTTGTGCTTAAAAATTGAAATCCAGCCCGCCTACTTCTTTGGAATTGAATTTCAGCTCAATGAACTTAAGGATTTACAGCTTTCGTACTGAATTACATTTTCGACGTTATACAATGCATATACGAAAACTTGAAATTCCTTGCGAAATTTCTATCATCCGAGACCTGAGGTGCAAGCAAGAAAATAATTTAAATGCGGTATAACATATATAAATATATGAAATGTTCGATTCCAAATTCTCCCTGCGGTGAGTATGAAGAGTGGTACCAGCGGCGTTGTAACGCCGTGCAATTCTGAGGCATCTCGTCGTTTCGGAAGAATCTGTCACCCCATATTCAGAATATATCAGTAAGTCAAGGAAGGAGCCAGCAGAAGCACGCGGCACCCACCTCCATTAGCAAAGGTCCACTAGAACCATACTGTAACATACAATTCCTGACGGTTCCTTGCTTTGTTCAGTCTTCAGCCTTGAAGAAGGAGGCTATATTTCCCTCCGAGGTGTCGGGTTCTCCTCGAAGTACATGGTGTTGTAACCCAGAAGAGCTTGCTGAATATTAAGACTGTATTTCAAATGCAGATATCAAAGTGGTTTATTTAGGTTGAAATGTGAATAAGTTAGTTTATCAGAGACCCAGCAGCGGACCGAAGAATTATGAATTACCTGGTAAGGTATCGTTGTTGCGTCAGTCTCGCTTCCACCCAAAATTCTGTTCGCTGGATGAAGTTCACTACCTGTGAACAATAGCAGACAACTTGCTGAAATACGGGGGGATTACACAAATACCTGTAGTTAATGCTACATACACTACCCTTCATGGCTACAGCTTGATGTAGCCTGGAAATCTAAAGAGTATGGACTCGTTATGATACAAACAGACGTTGATTTTACATAATATTACCATATAAATTCCTCATGACACTACACAAACCGGTTCTTACGGTTTCTTCGCTTGCGTATTTCTTATTTTTCCTTCTACCCTGAAGATGGAAGCGATACGTTCCTCCGAAACGTCGGTTAACACCACATCTACATGGTGCCACATCCCAGAAGAATGTTTTCTTCATAGTCACAGCCGTGAAATAAAATATACTTGATCTATCATTATTTACCAATATAATCTTTTGAAATAGGCACTTAAAATGTTTATATTGGATAAATTTGGGGGTCTGGAACAGAATTATTAAATTTACATTATTTCAAATGGGGAAATTTAAGTCGAAAATCGAACAACTTTAAAGTCGAGTAGTCTCCTGGAACGGATTGTTTTCGAGGTTCGAGGTTCCACTGTATTTATTTTATATCATAGGTATAGTAATTTCAGTAAGATACCGTAATGTAGTGTCAAGAGCTTAAACACTGGTACTCCAAAAATATAAATTGTAACGGACGTAATCAAATACTGAAGTATTCAATTATTTCCTCGTTGTTCTCTTTTTGTATTTGGATTTAGTACTTGCAAGGGAGTGGTTTGCCTGTTATTATTCATATGTCAGTAATTTGAATCACGACTGGAATCTATAAAATAATGCTCACAGAAAAAAATAAGAACATTAAATTTCGTCTGTTGCTTTTGAGTGCAAGGATTGTTCCAAGCGTTCTTCAGAGCTTCAATAGGGCACTGTCAGTCCTGATGTGACTGCAACGATTTCAGGCCATAACCATGAAAAAAAGTGCGAGCACGGAAGCGGCACTCCTTGTCGGTCCCTTTCATCTTCTCTCAGGCAGTCCACGAAACCTTGAAATGCGGCGGCCATGATGATTACAGCGCTGTCTCCGTATCTACTGACCTAGCCAAAGGGAACTTGGCGTGACATGGCACAACACGGATATACTGAATTACTGGGGTTTAGGACTTCATTGTCAGGAATTTTATGAAATAGAGGACACGACGTTACCGAAACAGATCCAGTTTCTGTAACGTCATGTCCTCTATTACCTAAAATTCCGGACGATGGAAGAAGTCTAAAACCAAAGTAATTTTGTGTGTCATCCACCATTGTCAGGACCCTTTAGAATCTACGGATATACTGCTCTTCATCATGGTCAACTCACTGAAAATCGGTTCGCAGAAATCCTATAGTAATTGGAGCTAGTACACTGTTCTGTGTCGTAAATAAATCTATAAAATATTTCGAATTTTAAATCTTACTTCTCGGAAGAAGTTCATCACGTCTTTAATATTATTATAACTCAGGTCTTGAGAAATACGTAAGGAGACGCCGAGAGAAATGAAGAACATTTTAATGGTAAAGTGTGTAATCGTAAAGGGCCGTTCATAACTCAGGGTGTTAGTAGCTGACTTCCCACTTCGGCTGCCCAAATTCGACCCCAGGTCAAATCACATGGAAATAGCAGTGAACAAAGTGGTACTAGGCCACGCTTTCAACCTGTCGGATTCTCGTGCCACGTCTCATTCCACTAAATTCTCCATACTCATCTACACGTATCATCCGAAGCTGTGGGCGATGTATGAAGTGGGATCGGTCTCCCCATACACAACGAAAAAAAAAAGAATTTAATGATAAAATTTATACTTACATATGAAAATAAATTTCTGTATAAAAACATTTTTAGAAAACTATAGCCATCAATTGCTGACACTGAGTTTGGCACGATCCATTATATCCGAAATACTTGAATTGTGAAAATTACAGGTTTCTTTCCTTTGGCGCTACTGTCTCAAATTTGGGCCTTGGCATACCTCCATGAAAATCTCCGTTTCACTTCGATTTAATATATGTTAGACATTTGGTAGGACTCCTTGGCTGGGTGATCATCTCGTAGCAAGGCCTCTACCTGTACTCAAACATAGATAAACGCACGCACGCGCACACACACATACACACACCAAACATCCATGCCCTGAGTGGGATTCGAACCAAAGATCCCTGCTTCCATGAAGACATTGCATGCTTTAGACCTCTCGGCTACCGTGACCAGTGAAAATTACAGACTATTGCTCACTAATTATTTTCCAGACTTACCAAAGCAAAAAGCAAGAAGCGTTGAACTGACAGCCAAAATGTGAAACATGACGATAATTTTCGAACCTCTTTGAGCTGCACAGATGTCCAACATCTGACGGAAAATCCAACAGATCCCGTGTGCCGACATCACCGCGTTATCTGCAAATGCAGCTTGTATCCCACTTATCTTATCACGGTAATCAATAACGGATTAATGTGTTTTAGATCTTCAAAAGAACGAATTAGTTTGGGAACATATTCAAGGTCTACAGTTATTTTATGCAAAAGTGTTTTATTTAAAAGAATAAATTTGTTGCAGGAAAATAAATATCATGCCTTGTTTCTCACTTTCAGCCACATTCACATTCACTCTTGAAACACTAATAGTTGCTCAGCCTTGCACTAAATTTATGGTCTGTAGTGGAGCTGGAATTTCATTATCATGTTCACAAGAACAGAAGGCTTGTCGTTATCACGAGTTGCAAGAAGGCAGCCTACACGCTTCCAAACCATTTAATTAATAAAAATGTTAATATTATCTCCTTCAATTAGGTCTTCCAAATTATTACTTCCCTTCAAGTTTTCTAATCAAAAATTCATATGAATTTCTCACATCTCCTGAATCTGCTACATGGTCATTCCATCTCATCCTTCTTGATCTGCTCTAAAGAAATCGAGAAAAATAACACGTTAATGAAGTTCCTTGTTATGCAGTTTTCTCCAGTCTCCATGCTTCCTCTCACTTACATTTAAATATTCTCTGCAACAACCTCTTCTCAGACATCCTCAATGATTATTCTTTTCTTAGTAAGCAGTCAGAGGCCGCGCCATAGTTCACATGGTTAGTCTCTTGCTTCCCATCGCGGCGGCTCGGGTTCAATCCCGAGTTTGGTCAAGTGGGATTTGTGGTGGACAAAGTGGCTCTGGGGCAGGTTTTCTCCGAGTACTTCGGTTTCTCCTGCCAATCTTCATTCCACCAATTACTCCACAATCACCCCCACCTATCATCTGGGGCTGGTACAATAGGCCAGAAGTGGCCGCAGTACAAGGGACTTAGTCCCACCCCACTAGTAATAAAAAAATAGAAAGCAGCCAAGTTTCAAGTTCACAAAATAACATTTTTGGTGAAATACTTTCAGTATATTTCGTTTCATCTAAAGATTATTGAAATCTAGGATGTAATCCGTATAATCTGGTTGATATTTAACGGAGTTTCAGAGAAACATACTGCGTCCATCTCCAAGACAAACTAATTTTAGACTGAAAATACTAACGCATGAAAAGCTACATTAAGGAGTTCTATATTCAGGGATATGACGTTATACAGTAAGCTGAAAGTCAACCAATGTTGCGGAGGAAAACGTCGTTTTTATCTACTGGCTCAACGAATAAGCCAAGCAAGGAACGTGTGAAAGATAGAGGCAAGCATATAAACAATTCTTGGACATCATTACTTTTGTAATAAAGTTCCAAGCAGTTAGACAGGCTAAGACGTAACTTTAATTAATTAATTAAGTTACACTTTATGAAGATGCATGGGGTAGTGGGGATATAGATCTCTGCATTCTTAAGCTCGCAGCTAAATTTAAATGATAAAGTACACACAATTGTATTTTATAAATATTTGTATTTATGTAATATGACGGGAGACTGGAGAAAACTTCATAATGAGGAGCTTCATAACTTGACCTTTTCGCCAAGTTATAATTAGAATGATCATGTCAAGGAGGATGAGATGTGCAGAGCATGTAGCATGAATGGGAAGAAGAGAAATGCATATAGGATATTAGTGGCAAAACCAGAAGAAAAGAGATCACTAAGAAGACCAAATTGTAGGTGGGTAGATAATATTAAAAACGATCATAGAGAGATAGTTAAAAGTGCTTTGGATTGGATTGATCTGGCTCAGGCTAGGGACCAGTGGAGGGCTCTTGTGAACACGGTATTGAACCTTCGGGTTCCATGAAATGCTAGGAAGTTCCTGAGTAGGTGCAGAATTGGCAGCTTCTGAAGAAGAGCTCTGCTCTACGAAGTAGTAGCCGAGCGGTCTGAGGCAAGTACTGCCTTCGCTCGCTCGGAAGCCGGGATCGTGGGTTCGAATCTCACACAAGGCGTGGACGATTGGTCTGTGTATGCGTTTATTCTGTATCTGTGTCGTCCTCTGTTTAGGCAGAGCCCTTGAGAAAAGCTGATCACCCGTGCAAGGAGTCCTATCGTCTGTAAAAATTATCATGAAGCTGGGAAATCAGCCCTATGCTCCAGAGTGGGAAGAAAATGAGAGGAAAAAATGAGTAATAAGAAATGAAGGATCACATACTCGTGCATTTCATATATCATAGCTTGGGAGTATATTAGTAACAATTACGGAACGATTCTTTAAAAACGTCATGAACCTAATACGTTTCTACATTACTACACAACAATACATATTCAGTCCCATTGGACCATGGTCAGTGTCTCATTAATTCAAGTTGTCATTACGGTTTCTAACAGAACGGCATTTCCACCTTACCTGAAGCGAACACATTATCATACAACGCGATGAAAGTACATATATATCCCAAGTTTAGAATGTACCACTGATAAGTGCATCATCACGGTTTTATACTTTTAATTTCATAAATTTTAATATATAAAAATAATATAGATATTTTAAAGGAGTCTCCTTATCATCTCCCTTGGATTATTACTGTATGTTTAAATCACAGAATTTCAGTTACATTTAACACAGGGATATAAGCATAGGTTTCTTCTTTTCGGCTCATTTCAAGGCTCTGCTAGTGTCAGGCTGAATGCAGTTAAATGGCTGGAAGGCTGATGAATTTGAAATGATTTAGATGGAAGTAGTTGTTGTCTGATGGAGGCGCTGTCCCAGTATTTGTCTGGAGGGTCTGAGAAAGGCCAGAATTGCCTCAGCAACGACAGACGGTGTCCCGACCAATGTTTATAATGGGCACGTCTAATGTTGTTTGGTTCATACGTGGGATGATGCTTTGGAATACAAATGTATTCATCCTAAAGCAGATGAATACATAAGTTTGAGAAATACGTAAGTATACATAAGTGATGTGTTATCATGAAGACACAGAAGTTGGCCAGCTGGTCCAGAAGGTCACAAGCTGGAAACCTACGGTATTGATTAAGATGTGAAAAAAAAATTGTGGCAGCTACTGATATAAGAAGGTCAGTACAAAGAAAATTAAGAAACTTCCTCATGTACAGTTGATTGATTGACATCTAAGCAAATTGTTGCTCAACAGAACGTTGTTGGTTACTGATTACCGAACAATAACGAAATCTGTTCGACCGGAAACCTGGTTTACACGAAATTGACATTTCGTTTTTAGTCTCCTACTGCGCGTGCGGTTAATTTCATGAATACACCAAACAACCTAATTGTTTAGGGAGATGCTGTCCCTAAATTAGCGGAGTTTAACTGTAAATTCGCTGAGTCTGCTTTCGGGAAAGTCATTCTTTATAATGCCCATTTGAAGGGTACCTATTTTTGGAGCTAGAATTCCGTATTCACCGGACATCTACCTGTGACGAATATATTTTTAAATATCAAATATGTATAAAATCAGTCCAACAATTTAGGCTCCAGCTTCAAAATATCGAAGTAGATATTTCAAGATCATAATATGTTCATGCATATAATGTGTATTAGAAAGCAAAAAGGGAGGAAAATAATGTTTTTTGACAATATTTTTGTCATGCAAGTCTAATATGAACTCTACTTTTAAAAGCTGTGTTTTAAAGAGAGGATTTGTGAATTACGTAAAAAAATTCAACGATATATTTTCAGCCTTTATTTGAAATGTATTTCCAAGCTTCACTCAAAATTCAACCAAAATGATAAAAAGTAACTTATGTCTCTGTACAGGAATAAAAATTGGCCTAATTATCATTAGGTTTTCAGCAAGAGAATTGCGTATGCAATGAGGGAGCACCTAGAAAATGAGATATCTGGAAATTGTGGTTATTTCAAATTTGGCCACTCTTGCTGTGAACAATTGTCGGATTAAATAAATCTGTTTCCTATGATTTGAAAGATAACCACTTCTTTCGTGTTTAAATTGATTGTAAATTGTACATTGTGTTTTTGTAGATTTTCTAGAACAAACACAATAAATTTTCACTGGCTTGAACAAAGCTAGACATAGAAAAATAAGAAAAAGCAAATTGGAAAACCAACACAGTCAATAGACAAGGAAGGAATAAGACAAAATATAGAGGTACTGTATATAACCGAAAATATAAAATGTCATAATAGCATTACATACCAACAGAATACAGCTGTTGATTCCACATTAAAGCAAACTTCCACGACAGTATTCCGGACTCATAGAAACAACATTTTCAGCAACAGTGCACGCTGTAGGAATAGTAGAGCTATAGTAATTCAAAAACCAGCAACGCCAAGAACAATATTTCACAACGTAATTAGGAATAGATTTTTTGGCAAGCAACGCCTATCTTAATTTTAACCCAAGTACGAATATTCTGACCTACTGACAAAATTACTACAAAAAAGAAAAAAAAACAGTTCCATCACAAAATTATCCAACTATCAATTATGTTCTTAAATGTAAATACTGGCCACCATATAGAAACAAGAGTTAACTTGTAAAATGAATGTAATATCAGCCTGGTGATAGCCCATTACTTCGAAATATGCATCAACATAAAATTAAATGCATATTATTTATTATTTATATACCACATTGTCTCGACGGAACTACCACATCTACTGCGATACACAGCACACCTCAGCCTTCTCTGTACTCTAGTTACATGGGCATAAGTAAGAGACCATCAATTCTAAAAATAAGAGGCACAGGATAATAATTTGAAAACGAAAATATGAAACGTTCGTTAATAAGATGAAAGGATATATGATTAATATCCTAATATACCTGCTTACTACTCGAAGAAGGGCTGGCGAATACGAAGAAACTTCAATCAGTTGCTTGTCTCGGAGGAATTTAGCTGACGCCAGTGATGGAACTTGCCCTTCTCCTGAGGGCTGGTACATCAAGGTGCACACCAGGATACAATATTAACTAAATTCCCCTCAGTAACCAGTGAATTTCCAGACTCTCCTTGGCTGGTGTCTCTGCTTCCTTGCTGTGCTCGAA